CCCCAAAACCCCAAAACCCCAAAACCCCAAAACCCCGAAGGCTCAGTTATTAATTGATACTTAATAAATTAGTTACTGCCATCATGAATTTTTTGAGGTGTCGGCTGGAAAATTCTTGAATTAGAAGTTCTCCGGTCTCCTTTGGCCGAGCTGTGAGACTTAGACATGTTGTGGTCCCGCGACCTTGATAAGCTTTTGTGTAGTGCGTTATGAGCATCAGGGTCTATTTTAGGATAAGCTCCTCCACCAAAGTGAGGAGGAGGGGTATAATCGTTCCTAGAGTCTCCCAGATCACTTCTCTCTATCTTTTGCTTAATAAAGGATGTTGATAGCTCGCTCTTAGAGATACCATTCATAATAGCATATCGATTATTAACAAGACTAGACTTCTCCCTCAATTGTTGTAATGGGGTTATATTTGAGTTTGTAAACATATCATATGAATGACTCAGCCCAGATATATTTTGCTTATCAATTTTAGAAATATTTGAGAAATCCCCTTTCCTCATCTGTGAAGAATTGAATTTATCAAGCCCTGAAACCTTCTTTTCATCAATCTTTTTAGGTTTCTCTTTGGTAATGTTTGATAAGGAAAGAGTATCATCAGGGATTTCTCCTTCAATCACTTTCTTGATGTCTTCAATATTTGAATCTGAAAAATCTTCATTTTCTTCTTTCATAGGGAAAATTTTGGACTTGTCTTTAGATTGCTGATCAATAGTTTTGGCTAATTTCTCACCTAAAAGTATTAAGTACCTCCATAGGTTTAAAGTAAAGGGTTAAGCGTACCAAATCTAGAGGTTGCCTTGAGCTCTTCTTCTTCACCAGAACTATTGTCCTCCTTAATTTCCATGTCTTTACCATCATTTGTGAAAATATGTTGATTTCTGCCATCATTCTTATACCCTAGTGGGGTAATTTTGTCCATTTTGGACCGAGCCCGAGAGCAGGCCTTTATATCGCCTAAAGTTTAACTGCTCACAATACCTTTTGAAGAATTATTTCCCACCAAAGTTTTCTTATGAGTTGACATCTTCTTTTTCAAAATCTTCTTCAGGCTTTTATAAGACTCTTCTGTTAGGAACTGGGAGAAAGGTGTAAACAACTTCTGGTCGAACAGCATGGAGAAAAACTCATAGAACTGTCGTAGCTTTATTGTTCGTGTGGATCTTTCTTCTTGATGCTCCTTTTTCTTATAAGCCCTTCTCTTATCACGATGCCTCTTTGAAGCTTTCTCTCGCTTCTTTAGATTCTTCTCAAAGAATCCCAGCATAAATGTGTGATCCATGAAGGGAATCTGCATTGCTTTAATGAGGGTATGGGAAAAGAAGAATTCGTACATTTGAATCTTAACACTTGGCCCATTTTCATCATTTTGATTCTCGGTTTGAAAGTTTTCAAGGCCACCAATATGCTTCAGAATCTTCTTCATCAACTTCTTAGTAAGATCACTTGAACTGTAATTTATATTCTTTGAGGTTTCTTTAGTGAAATTGAAATTAAACAAAGTGTCATAAAGCCGAGTTGTGGCAATTTGGATCAATGTCAGCCCAGAGAGGTAGTATTTATCAGACACATCAGGACGCTCTTCTACAAAGACTTTGCCAAAAGTTTCTTTGATATTTTCCATCATTTCTCCAAACGGAAGTTCCTGGATTGGTTTTTCGAGTAGTTGGCTATGAGAGATACTCATTGCTGAGTACATTCCGCTGACAGATCTGAGGGCTTCTCTACCAGAGACCATGCTTAATTCTTGCTCCTTAATGAAGGAGTCTTCTTGGTAAAATTCCTGTAGAATTTTATTTACCAAAATTTCTGTAATACTGTAGGAACATATACATTCAAAGGATGTTAGCCCATCCGCTGTCAGTATTTAGAGATCAAATAAGGATTAGCCCATAATTGTCATGAGATATGGAGATTAATTTATGAGCAAATAAGGTTAACTCGATTCTATTACTGAAGTACGCATTCTCATTCTCAAGAAACAGACTGTTGTTAGCAAGGGTATCGTTGTGAAGCATTGATGATTTCCCCATTTGCCTCGTATTAGTTGATCCATTGTACTGCCTATCACTTTTAGTATTAGTAGCAGTCATATCTTTATTTCTTGTTATCAGTACCTATAATATTTAAAATTGCCTGGGTTAATATTTTTAAAAAGCTATTCGCTTACATCTAACTCTTCAGCCAATTCAAAACGATTACTAGGGTGTTTATTCTTGTTATTCCTCGAAATTTTAGTAGCCTCAGTCAAACTTATGGCAATTCTTATCAATAAATCTGCGTTAATACAGGAAACAACTTTCTGTTTGCTATTTCATATCGCTGATGACAGTACAAGAGTCGGAGTAAAATAAAATTCTTTCTATTTTACAATGAGTTTGCATTGTATCAAGGATCGGCTCGTCTCTAATTCTTAGTACGCTCTTAAGTTTGATTCCTACATCTTTCTGCCTGTCTACACTCTTTTGAGGAATGACTAATTCGTTCATCATAGGTTTATATAACTCAATTAAATTATTTAAAAATGGGGTTTTGGGGTTTTGGGGTTTTGGGG